GAGGATCAACAGGAGCTGAGTGTCTTCGAAGGAGAGATGCATTCGTTTCAAAAACTTTACCACAAAGACTCTACCATGAGAGAAGAGAGAGGGAGAAAGAGTCAAATTGCACCTGCATAATATTATTGCTTAGCTTACTTGCTCTTTGATTTTATCCCTCTGCCTTTTCTCTGCTTCTCTTCTATCAGTCAGCCATTTCTCACCATATCTGTTCTCAAGCAGTTCAAACAATGGAGTAGAAGGTCTTGTTGATACTCCAAATGTCATCCCTTCTGGCGGATAGCGAGATTTTCCAAGTTGTGAGTCCCGATCTTTGTCTCTTCGTCTTATATCGTGACAAGCTCTGAACTGGCTTTGCTCCTGTGCTGTAGTGAGGCCATTCTGAGCTGCCATTTTGTTAAGAGCTATGAAGTCCTTCTCTGGTGTTTGGTTTTGTCTAGCCATAGAACCTTTTGCTGCATGCCATATTGAAACAGCTGCAGAAATGAGAGCGGAGAGAGAGAGAGGGAAAGAGAGAAGATTTAAGATTTAATACAAGTAGAGGACATTATTTACCTTCAGCTACCCCTCCATCAAAGCATATTGTCCTCATGCCATAAGTGAAATCAGGTGAGGGCAGGGAAAAGCATCTTTTCCTGGACTTGCCAAGCTCAGGCTAAGGAAGGGAAAGCAAAAAAGGGACAGAGAGACAGAAATGAAACAGATGAAGTTATTTTTCTCGAGATAAGGGTTCTCTTACAGCTATTAACAGTGGATTGGCAGAAAGTGACGGCCTCTGTGATCCCAAACATTGCAGATCTTTCCTACTCATGATGGATTCCTACGAGCGAAAATCCCCGAGCATCTTTTGTCGAGTAGCCATGACAACGACTAATGAATATTAATAAGGTAGTTACATTAATTAATTAATTGACTATGAATAATAGTTAAGTGATGCATTAAAAATAAAAGAGCAAAAAAATCATAAAATGGAGCTCATTCTACAAAAAAGTATATTTATATATAAAAATAAAGATTGAGAGAGTGTTCATGAGACCGGATTGGGTTCCACTCCAGCTCCTGGACCAGTAGCAACAGCTGGAGGGGGACCAGCTGTAATACTTCTCATCTGCTGTGAGACTGAGTACACACGCTGAATGTCAGGCCTGATCTCTGGATTAGGGTTAATACAACTATCAACTAAATCTCTTAACTAAAGAGAAAGAGGGAGAGGAGAGAGGGGCAAAAGAAAGAAAGAGAGGATGGGAAAAGATAAGGGAGAGAGAGAGAGAGAGAGGAATTTGAGAGAGAAAGGAGATTGAGAAGCCATGATTACATAGTACTATTAGTTATTGTCATAGTCTTCTTACTTTTTGTGAATAAATGTCAGAAGGTAGTGGTGGATAGTCACACTTCTCTATCTTCTTACAGAGCGAGTATAAGTTCATCTTATCGCCGTAGAATGGCGACTGAAGTGCTGCCAGCTGGAATGAAAAGACAAACAAAAATAAAACAACAATCGAAATTAATTAATAATCATAATTAGTACTAATTTATAGTTAAAAATACTTCATAAAGGAGGCACCCAAGTGACCATATATCAGACTTGAAATTATATCCAGTTTCATGTATTCTCTCCGGCGACATGTAATACGGCGTTCCAACTATTCGGGCATTAATTAGAATAAGAAAAGTTACATGTGTCTACCTAATGAGTGGGCAGCTGTTGTTTTTGAACTGAAAAACCTTCCGAGACCCAAGTCCCCGAGTTTTACGACTGCAGTGCTAGTGACAAAGACGTTGGCTGGTTTTATGTCTAATGAATATTCATGAGGTTAATAATAATGAGATTATTAATTACAGGGGCTATACCTCTGTGCATGACTCTTCTGGTATGCATGTGATCCAGTGCAGAACAAACTTGAACAAAATAACGCCTTGGGACAAGAGAAAGAGAAAAAGGAGGGAGGACAGTGGAGAGAGAGAAATCAAAAATTTCTTTATAGCGATTCATTTGAAATTATTATTACCAGATGGTCTTCTCTGGAATCAGTTGCTTTCTCTTCTTGAAATGTTTTATCATTCGAGATAAATCACCAGCTTCCGCCAATTCAAGAACTATATATAACTAGAGAGAGAGAGAGAGAGAGAAAAACAGAAAGAGAGAGAAAAGGAAGCGTGAGAAAAAGGAGACATTAGTAGCTTAAAAGTAAACAAGGACTTTAAGTGATATACCTCGTTATTCTCTACAAAGGAGGCCAAATACTTTATAATGTTCGGGTGATCAAGAGATTGAAGCAACTCAATCTCCTTCAAACAATCCTGTCTAGCCTTAGCATCGACCATCTCAAATATCTGAAAACAAAAGAAGAAATTTTATTATAAATGAATAATTATTTGAAAAGAAAAAGATGCCATATAACAGGGATAACTTGAGGAAGACTTTCATTTTGTGCTAAACTGCTAATAAAAATTCACTCCATTTTGTTTTATCGAATCGCAAACATACATGTACATATTACACATGCAATAAGAAATGTCTTCATAAGTGACATACTTGTATTTTCTTGAGGGCTACCCTTTCTGAGTCAGTCTTACTGCAGGCCTTGAACACAACACTGAACTGTCCCTGACCAATCTTCTTCTCAATGTCAAAATAAACGAGCGAATTATAATACTCACGAACAGCTACTGGTTGAAAGGATGTCACCACACCCCCGGGAGATGGGTCGGAAATCTGTAAGAACAGGGTAATAATAACCATGCAGTATGTACATGTACATCAAATAAACATTAAATGAACTATATAAAACTATACCCATTAAAATTCGTATCGATTATAGATAATACGTACTCTCTAATTGTTTAAGTACATTATTCTTATATCAACTTCGGTATTTGTAAAAATAATCAAGTTTGGAAAACTAATTATTAGCATTGTGATTGCTGTTTACCCAAAAAATATTATTAAATGTGTCATTATTAAGGTGTTACCTGTAGCGGTGGTGGTTGTCCTTCAGCCATTACAGCAGAGGAGAGAGAGAGAGAGAGAAGGTGAAGATTGAGGGACTTTGTTTACTAGGAGCTCCACCCAATAATTATATTGGAATTACCGCAATGAGCCTTTAAATAGACACAATACGGTATTTTTATTGACAGATTGAGCCCCGCCTACAATTAATTAAAGTTATAGATAAAGATCTTATGTGGGTCTCACGATTTAAGCCAAAGGGCCATGCAACCACCTTTTTGCTATTGAACTGTGCATACACAAGAAAGAATTTATACCAAAGTAAGTGTTTAGATCTACCATAAAATTGCAATAAAAAATATGCTAATAAAACTTTACGTTGAGTAGCTAATATTCAAGTTAAAAAAATAATCCAGATGAATTTGAGTGGTATTGCAGGTGGCCATTCTTGAACGTTCCTGTAGTAATTTACTAGTAATAAAAAGGGTAAAAGACTGCCAATAAATCAGAGAATTTCAGTGATGAATATATCATAGGTATTTGGAAGTGTACTTTTCAGGGATTGCGATGCTTTTTCCGCTGAGATGGGATCTGTAAAAATACCAAAGCAGGTTGAGCCGCTGCCGGTCATTCTTGAAATCTTGCATCCATCCTGTTGTAGCAATACATCCAAAATATCACTAATTTCAGGTATCAGGTTGGCCACAGGGATAGTTAAGTCATTCGTAAGACTGCTCAAAAAATCCAGATCACATCTCAATTTTCTACTAAAATCAATAATACTTTCTTTATCATTAAGTGAAGGAATAAAAGGATCAGAGCCTTTAAATCCAGAGGCAAATTTTCTGTAGGCATCTCCAGCGCTAGAGTGTATGTTGGGAGATACTAACACAATAATCCAGTCTCTACAATCCATTTCTATTGGATAGATCTCTGTTTCAATTTCATTTGCAAGAAAGCCATGCATTTTATTTTGCTGCTCCAATGCATATCTATGATCGCAAGATTGAGGTTCTAGAAGTTTTAGGGAAGCATCCAATTCTCTAATCATCTTTAAGCAAGCTACAGCATCAGTTCCTATTTGAGAAGCGCAATCAACCATCTGCTCTTTGGACATCATGAGAGTTTCTATTTTGTTAATAGCTAAAATGACTGCGGCAGCATTTGTAGAACCACCACCCATTCCAGAACCTACCGGTATATTCTTATCGACTTGAACTCTATATTTACCTCTCATTCCTGCATTTTGTTCCAGATAACTCAGGGACGTTATTATAGAATTGTCCTGCGAATCAATGTGCTTGGAAGCATATTTTCCAGTAAATTCAACAGTGTGTTTACCATTAGCAGATCGGGATATCGCTATATCATCGGCCAATTTCAACAAGGACAGGATCATGTTAAGTTCATGGTAGCCATTTCTTTTTCCCACGATATGCAAGCAGAGGTTGATTTTCGCAAATGATCTGCATCTAAATTCTTTGGGGTTTTCGAGACTAATTTTTGTTTCTGAAACCTTAGTCATAATTTTTGTGCCCACTAAAGCATTTTATAACCTAGCCACGCCTTTTATCTATCCACGCCGCGCCTTTTTATGTAGCCACGCCCCTGACACATGTTATCATGGCTGATTGTTATGAAGAGAGATTGAAAAGGCTGGAATATCGCTCCAGAGAGTCTGACGAGGCACTGAAGCACCTCAGCCTTTGCGTTGATGTACTGCAGCAGGTAGCAGGTAAACATGCAACTTGAATATACTGGCAACTGGTATAAATTAATTTTATATGTAATTTTGTAGAAAATAAAAAGAGTGATTTAGCTCCTAGACAAGTAATAAGGATAATAAAGTTATAATTATTATGATACTAATTAGAAATCGGAACTGGTTATTAAACTAGAAAGGGAAAATGCAGAGCTGACAAGTGAAATTGAGAAGTTAAAGCAGGAATTGATTGATGCTGAAATATTAAATGGACGTTAGTAATTTATAATTATTGCAATTATTAAATCCTCCTATTTATAGCAGATATTAGACCTTAGAATACTGATAGCTGCAGCTAAAATTATGTACAAATTTAAATTTTATTTTTAGGTCATCATATATTTAATCCTTCAGCTATTACAGCTGCAAGTTCTGCAGCTGCACCAGTAGCTACTGAATCTGTTAAGAAACCAACACAAGAACCAGTATCTGCTCCTCCTGAGAAGAAGGTGGAAGAGAGTGAGTCGAAACCAGCTGCTAAAGCCAGCAAAGGAAAGAAAGAGAAACCAACTGAAGCAACTGGTAAGAATTATAACTTAGCTAATAATGGCTCATTGTCTTTTTTAGGAGGTGGAGGAGGAGGGAAAGGGGGCGGGGCTGTGGGTGGAGGAGATAAACCAGTTGATGTCTCACGGCTTGACATGAGAGTTGGTAAAATACTGTCAGTTAAACTACATCCTGATGCTGATACCCTCTATGTGGAAGAAAGTAAGGTGGAGTCTTCAAAACATGCCATTTATTATTAATAATGAACTTGTACTATGTATGGTCTTTTTGACCCAATTCTGGAGTAACTTTGAAAATCTGTAAAAAATCCAATTTTAATCGGAATCATCTCAAACTTTCTACACAATATAAGAACATGTATATGTATCAGAAAATGGAATAAAAATAGAGAAATCTCTATTTTTGATTTTTGGCAAAATTTGGCCTAAGACCATGTAATTGTACTATATGTCACGAAATCCGTGACAAGCAAAAAAATCTCAAGTTATTTTATTTTTATAATTTTTTAGTTGATGTTGGTGAGGAAAAGCCTAGGACTGTATGCAGTGGTTTAGTGAAGTTTATCCCCATTGAAGAAATGAAGGCAAGAAATATTCACCCTTTTATTATAATAATTGTATTTCATTTATAGGATCGTTTAGTGATAACAATGTGTAACTTAAAACCTGCTAAGTGAGAGGCTAATTTTCTGTATTGTTTTAACATTAAAAGTGTAGCCTCTCTTAATGGACACTCTCTATAGCGTACACCTCCATTTAACGGACAGCACCTAGTGTACCAAATACATTCCTTACTGTATAAAATAACCTCCACATAAAGGACACCTCTGTATAACAGAGACACTTTCTTATACCAAAGTGTCCATTATATAACGGCTGCACTATATACATGTACATGTATTAAACATTTAATTTATATATTTTTGGGTAGTATATGATTGTACAATGTAGGATTAGAAAATTATTCTCAAACTAAATCAATCTTTTATCTCTCTCTATTTTAGAATGCGTGGTGTTCTATCAGAGGCAATGGTGATGTGTGCCAGCACTCCAAATAAGGTCGAGATATTAGACCCGCCCCCTGGCTCCGTACCTGGTGATAGAATAGTCTTTGAAGGATACCCAGGTAATTAAAAATGAATTAATATTATTTCAATTAGCAACAGCTGCTAGTGAACACATGTATGTTCCTTTCAGCCATTAAATTGTAAACAAAGAGTCCATAGAATAGTAAGTATAGAGTAATGTTTGACCTGCAGCTGGTCAGTTGCTGTGTGCATACAAAAGAGCTTTTGTGCTTTTATTTATTGTTTAAGAAGATCTCTATTCTCTACTAATGAAGCTTGCAATATCTCCCAACTCTTTCATTGTTTACTGACACTTCTAGTTGAAATTCATTATTAGATTTTAGTAGAAAATAATTTACTCTTCTTCTCAGGGGAGCCTGATGCACAGTTGAATCCAAAGAAGAAGATATTTGAGAAGGTTCAGCCCGACCTCGTTACTACTGCCGAAGGTGTGGCAGTTTATAAAGGGACCCCATTCCAAGTGGAAGGGAAAGGAGTGTGTAGATCTCAAACACTTAGAAATACCATTATAAAATAATGGATTATTGTATTATTATTATTATGTTTATAAGCTACCTTTTCTGATTATGGTAGTCAATTATGAATCAGTATTGATCAATGATAGTTTAATTTTGTTGATTTTTTCCTAAATAAATGAAACTGTGTGAATTGATGACTGAATGGTGGACATTATGCAAAATAAATACAGTAGAACCAAAGAGCTATACAGAGAATGCATTTATACAACAATTCCATTGATATTAATAATGACTATTAGAAGAACAAGTGTCACTTTAATAAATCATAATACACTTGTGGCCTATTAGTAGCTGACACTCCAGCGCTTTCTAAAGCGAGTCCAGCTCTTAGTAAAAGTCCCTCGCTGTACCAGGGACCTAATAGTTGGAGACCAATAGGTAACCCTTCCCTTTGAATGGGCAGTACCAGGCCTGGTATACCCGTCAGGTTAGCAAGGAATGAAAACCTCATAAGATCCCCGGAGGTCTTCACATCACTGATTCCATGAGAGAGGGATTTCGATGGTATCATTGGAGCAGTACACGCTGTGGCTGGCATAACAATAATGTCAACTTCTTCAAAGAGTTTCTTTAGGAAAGCAATAGACCTCGTTCTTTGTTTCATTGCATTGACATAATCGGTTCCCGAAGTGTGGAGACCCACGAGTATCGGGGTTAGGGTTTCTGGATTAAAGTCCCAAAAGTGTTTGTCTATTTCGTTTGATAGTGAGCTCGAGCCTTCGGTGAGAATGATAAACATATGGGCCACTTTAGCTTCCTCCAGTTCAGGTATTACGATATCTTTAATTTGAGCTCCTAGCGTCTCAAAAGCATCGAGTCCTTTACGACAAGAGTCTCTGACTTCTTTATTGCAATGATTGAAATAATCCCAATAAACACCAATCTTAAGGTCTGAGAGATCAATTAGATTCAGTGAGGAGAGTGAGACATGTTTCTCCTTGTCCAAAAGACTCAAGGCAATGGCGGTATCAAGTACTGTAGCACCAATAGGCCCGGGGACTCCAACTGTGAAACCCATTGGTGTCCCGCCCACACTACTTAACAAACCATACGTCGGTTTGAGACCAACAACCCCACAGAGTGATGCAGGGATTCTTATAGACCCACCTCCGTCTCCGCCCATAGCAAGCGGACAAAGACCAGCTGAAACTGAAGCAGCAGCACCTGAAGAACTCCCTCCACAAAAATGATCAATATTGTGAGGATTACGGGCAGTTTGGTACCCCGAGTGAGGGTTCGACCCAAGAGTGCCTTTACCTAGTTCCTGCATGTTACATATACCAATAATGACTGCACCAGAGCCCCTCAGTGTGCTAATATTGGGCCCCTCACTCACCCCCTCCATTGCGGCAATTTTAATTTTACCCCCGCAGAGGAAAGGGTACGGATCGAGGTACATTTCGCCTTTTATTGCAACCGGGACGCCGTCTAAAAGAGAAAGGGGCTCTCCCTTTGCCCAGCGTTGGGACGAGGACTCCGCCATCTCCATGACAACAGGAGCATAGCACTCCACAATAGCCCGAAGAGGTGGGTCCATCTCGTTTGAATCAGACACAGCTTTCAAAACAGAACGAGCAACATCAACTGGGGTCAACTTCCCCGATTTATAAGCCAAATGAAGCTCGACAATACTCAACGGCTTAAACTCATTCGCAATTTGTGCTTTATGCAGACCTAGGAAAAATTCAGCGCCCACGCAACTGGGCGTGGTCTTGTTTGCATCAGTAATCGCATAATGAATACAAGGTCTATGTGTGGGCTCATCTGGTATGTATTCTCCTTTGAATATGTGGAGGTTGCTTTTTCTCATGTTCCTCCTAACGAGAATGACGTAGCCCAATCTCGTGAAGGAGAGCCATACTAATATTCTGAAGAGAACCCCCGTCACCCGCGGGGCCGTGTACTCTTTCAGCCCATAGCTCAAGTTCTCTCTTTCTGCCAGTATTTGTTGTACGGGAGGGCGTATTGATCCACCTCGCAGTCCCCTGTGAACTGGATTCCTACCCAGGGACCAGTAAATGAAGACAATGGCAGAGACAAGAGCTAACACTGCGACAGCGAGAGACCACATTGTTGGTTATACGGTAAATATACGGTTGTTTGTCTTGTTTTATTGACACCTGCGCCCCCGCGTTCAGAATAATCATTGGGTTGTTATTAATCGTTAATTAATGGTTATTAATAATAAAATGGCTGATGGATATTATTATCATTCTGACAATGAAATCCTCAAATACAATCCAGAGTAAGGAATCATATAGCTGGTCACGTGATGCAATCTGTTTTATTTCAGCTACCAATCTCTACTGAGGACATTGAGTCTTCTTGAAGCTCAAAAAATGAAAGCAATTAAGGTTTTAAAATAAGATACTATGATCATCACGTAATGCATTTATTATGCAAATCTGGTAGGATCTAGAGCTATTAACTGAGCTCAAATCAAAAGCAGAGACTGATCCAAACTCAATCATAACGCAATTAAGAGATGGAGTTAGTTGTACACCTATTTCATTCACACTATGATAACTTACGTAGTTATTATTATTCAGTATTATGGAATTGTGTTATTGAAATGCAATTCAATACCATTTGTATAGAATGATATACATAATGGTATTATGCATGTACATGCAAGTAGCAGTTCTGCAATTATAGTAAAGGAGCTAATGAATGAAGAGATGCTTTGTCCATTAAGTGACATGTGATAAGTAGAGATTCTTTTCAATTAAAAGAATCTTTTACTTATTGCAGTCACTTACTTTACCAACAAGACAAAGACTGGCTACCGTCCCAGAGATAAACTTAGAGCAGTACAAGGCAATCAATGAAAGTGAACCTTACAACACTCGTAAGAAGATGGCTCCAGCAACAATTGAAGTTGTGCCACCTGTTAAAGAAGAAGTCTTGAAGTTTACTGATCCAGCTTCTTCTAGTAGGAAGACAGTAAGTACAGCTGCTTCTCAATCAAAGGGAAAGTACAAGGACAACATGTGGTCTGAAGAAGAGCAGGTTAGATTAGTCTTGTTTTCTTTTCTTTTTTGACTGTTGCATGTGACAGGGTCGTCTTGAGGAGCTGTTGCAGCTGTACCCGCCGGAAGAGGTTGAGGCTAAACGATGGCAGAAAATTGCAAATGCTTTGGGAAACAGGACACCAAAACAAGTAAGAAGAGATAAACAAAGTGTGTATTATTATTTAGTAGCATAAGTACATCAATATGTATCAGAAAATGTAATAAAAATTTGGGGTGAATTTGGAGCCATTTTTTGGAAAAAACCATGGGCTATAGCCTTGGGTATTTTTCAGATTTTGGCCGATTTCTTAAAATGGCCGTAACTCGAAAAATTGAAGTCAGAATAAGCTCAAACTTTCTATGTAGCATAAGGGCATCAATATGTATCAGAAAATGTAATAAAAATTTGGGGTGAATTTGGAGCCATTTTTTGGAAAAAACCATGGGCTATATGGGTATTTTTCAGATTTTGGCCGATTTCTTAAAATGGCCGTAACTCGAAAAATTGAAGTCAGAATCAGCTCAAACTTTCTACAGATCATAAGTACATCAATATGTATCAGAAAATGTAACAAAAATTTGGGATGATTTCGGAGCCATTTTTTGGAAAAAACCATGGGCTATAGCCTTGGGTATTTTTCAGATTTTGGCCGATTTCTTAAAATGGCCGTAACTCGAAAAATTGAAGTCAGAATAAGCTCAAACTTTCTATGTAGCATAAGGGCATCAATATGTATCAGAAAATGTAATGAAAATTAGTGGTGATTTCGGAGCCATTTTTTGGAAAAAACCATGGGCTATAGCCTTGGGTATTTTTCAGATTTTGGCCGATTTCTTAAAATGGCCATAACTCGAAAAATTGAAGTCAGAATCAGCTCAAACTTTCTACAGAACATAAGTACATCAATATGTATCAGAAAATGTAATAAAAATTTGGGGTGAATTCGGAGCCATTTTTTGGAAAAAACCATGGGCTATAGCCTTGGGTATTTTTCAGATTTTGGCCGATTTCTTAAAATGGCCGTAACTCAAAAAATTGAAGTCGGAATTAGCTCAAACTTTCTTCACAGCATAAGTACATCAATATGTATCAGAAAATGTAATAAAAATTAGTGGTGATTTTGAAGCCATTTTTTGGAAAAAGCCATGGGCTATAGCCTTGGGTATTTTCTAAAAATTTGCCATTTTTAAAAATGGTTATTTTGTCGAAATGAGTGGACTTACACATTTCATTTTATTACAGGTCTGCTGCAGAGTTCAAAAATATTTCATTAAATTAGCCAAAGCCGGACTACCAGTACCAGGACGAATGCCGAACCTCAGCACTTACTCTCGTAAAGTGAGTACAGGTTTTAGAAGCTCCGCCCACCTCCTCATACTTTGCTTTTAGGGTAAAATAAAACGTGTTTCGGCAAAACGACAGTCGCTTTTCTTGTCTTCATTAAAACCGAAAGTCTACATGGGCAACAATGAGAACGAATCAAGATTAAGCTCCTCGGTAATTAATTAATTTAAAACCAATTAATTATATAATAATAATAATTATTATTATTATATTTGTTATAGGAGGAAGAGGAGGAGGAGGGAGAAGGAGAAGAGCATTATTCTCCAGCTGCTCTCGACGAGCGATCCTCCCCCTTCTGTTCAGGTTGTGGCTGTTCTTCATTTTCATTAAACATGAAGTGCAGTGACTGTCATATCCTCTTATGCCAGCCTTGTGTTGATAAGTAGGCCACCTATTATTACTATTATCTATTCTTTTATTTCTCTCTTCCCTCTCTCTCTCTCTCTCTCTCTTTCTCCCCCCCCCTCTCTCTCTCTTTCCCTCTTTCTCTCTCTCTCACACAGACAATGGACATCAGATACACATTTATCATCGCACAAAATAAAACAAATTCAAGAAAGTGAAGACATAAAAGATTCGTATAAATACGTCGATCAGGATTACACAGGCTTCAATCCTTCTCTCTTGAACACAAAATATAATTATTTAGACTCTAATTTTCGTCCTGCCCTTTGACAAACAGGAAAGCTAGTCAAAACGCTGACTATGGAAAATGTTATATAAACACTTTTATTGAAATCTATTTATTTTGACTTTAACACCTTGATCTCCTCCTTCAGCTACCAATCATAAATAAGTACATGATACTGTGCAGGTATACATGTACATGGTACATATATACTGTACAGTCAATGTGTTAACATACAAATGCCCCTGCCCACTATTATTTATTGCTTTATACGTCCACCCACTTTTGAAACTTTAGTGTGGGCATAGTGTCTAGTTAATGATGCACCTCCTTTTATAAACTTGATCACGCGTAATCAAATTATCTCAGTCTCTCTTAGTTTTAAGAGAGAGAGAGATGATGGAAGTAGCAGGAGATTATTATAAGGAAAGAGAGAAGGAGGAAGAGGTTGATGATGATGATGTGGAGAAGAAGGTGAAGCAGTATCACAGGAGAGCACAAGAGCTCCAGAGGATTCATAAATACAATAAAGCTATTAATTATTGTCAGTTCTCTCTTAATCTGATGAAAGGGAAACCTCTTAATGTAAGTATAATAATATCTAATAAAATTCTAATGCATTTTAAAATAAAATAATATATAATGTATTTATGTGAATGCAACATCTACTTTGATGTTACAGGCTGAGTGCTACATAATTTTGTTAATAATTGTATTAGAGCTGTAGCCTCTTTATTAAGGACACCATTAGTCCCACACTACCTGTCCTTAATACAAAGGCGTCCTTTCATATCTAGCTATACAATTAAGATGTTGTGCTTTATGTGTCCACTTCAATAGTTATTAATTTATATAAATCCTTATTATTTAATATTTTGTAATTGTTTTGAAGAGCTAACATAATAAGCACTAGCCACAAATATTTGCAGTTGATGTATTGAAAATTAGTTCTTCCTTTTTGAGCAGCTGTATATACCTGCGTATTTCAAATATGTGGCGTATTATAAATAATTAATTTTGATTTTATAGTCGCTTGTTGGTGAGTTGTACTACACGCTGGCCAACAGCTACCACAGACAAGGGAAAAAACAACTGAAAGGGATTAATAGCAAAGAGAAGGAGGGAAAGGAGGAGGAGGGAGAGGAGGAGAAAGCCGGAATCAAATCACTGCATATATCATTGCATTACTATAAGTAAGTATAATCAGTAGGTTAATTTTAAATAAATATAAATTATATGTCATTATGTATCCCAGAAATTAAATCTTAATGATCAGCAGCAAGACAGAAAATTCCAAAATCTTGTTGACATATGTGTTAACATGTATACATAAAACCATTCGTCATAAATAATTTAAAAATCTATGCCCAATGTTTATTTATTTATTTATTAATTTCTCTCTCTCTCTCTCCAGTATATGCATGCAGTGCTCTAGCAATGAAGCAATGATGTATTGGAAGTCAGTGGAAGGATTAGGTAATGTCCATCACTTGATGGGGAACTACAGAGAAGCTATTGCCTACCATGGACAAGTGAGATTAAAACCTCTTTATTAAGGATTCTCACACTACTTCTCCTTAATACAGAGGTGTCCTTAATTAAGGATACCTTTATCACAAGGACATTTTGTAATGTCTTAATTGGTACAAGCCTATACAAAAGTACCTCTGAAATGAGGACACCTCTGTATTAAGGACAGGTAGTGTGGGCCCAATGGTGTCCTTAATAAAGAGGCTACACTGTACATGTATTAAGGACAGGTAGTGTGGGCCCAATGGTGTCCTTAATAAAGAGGCTACACTGTACATGTATTAAGGACAGGTAGTGTGGGCCCAATGGTGTCCTTAATAAAGAGGCTACACTGTACATGTATTAAGGACAGGTAGTGTGGGCCCAATGGTGTCCTTAATAAAGAGGCTACACTGTACATGTATTAAGGACAGGTAGTGTGGGCCCAATGGTGTCCTTAATAAAGAGGCTACACTGTACATGTATTAAGGACAGGTAGTGTGGGCCCAATGGTGTCCTTAATAAAGAGGCTACACTGTACATGTATTAAGGACAGGTAGTGTGGGCCCAATGGTGTCCTTAATAAAGAGGCTACACTGTACATGTATTAAGGACAGGTAGTGTGGGCCCAATGGTGTCCTTAATAAAGAGGCTACACTGTACATGTACATTGATAGTTTATTGTAATGTATTTATTAGTTTTTAGATTATTCAGTGAGGGCTGGAGACGTGGAAGCACAACAAAGAACAAACACAAATTTAGGACATGCTTACCTCCTGCTTGGAGAAGCAAAGCTATCCCATTATTATCACTGGTAAACTCAATGCAACATAAGTACATGTATATGCATCAGAAAAAAAATATATATAAATGCAAAATTCTCCCTTTTTTATTTCTGGCAAATTTGGGCCCATGACCCTGTACTATAGTACAGGGATTTTGACCGGATTTTGAAGCAACTTTATGACATAACAAAAAGCTATGCGACAATCCTGTGGGAAACCTTAGCTGATGTATATAGTACTACCTACTCATGTCTATAATTGAAGTAATAATTAAGATACAACAAAGAACAAGATGTGGTTATATCGCTAATTCGTTACGTCACTCCCATGCTATACATTTAACCTATCATTACATCATGAGGACAAGGTCTAGAGCCAATACTAGGAATTGTTATTGGATCTTTGGGATTACACAAATACACATTATATCGATAAAGCACGCATCCTTTGTCCCATCATCCTGATACTGTGTATTCCATTGAGATTATCCTAATATTCTACTGATAATAATTACCTCCTAGTAAACAGCCATTCATACATGCACTTAGGTACATCTGTACAACAATATAGTGCAATAAATGACAGCATTTTATGCAACAGTTCTGTATACACGGTATCCTGTGCATCTGTTTGTTCACAAACACCATTAACAATGTATGATGGCATTAGAGGACATATGTATACACTCAGAAAACACTAAGTAAATATTGAATTCACACAGTGACACTCACTCACTCTCACACATACTCTTGGCAATAGTAAATAAATAATTAGCAAGCACAGACTAAACAGTAATTCATGCATAGGAGAATATAAAACTTCTATATAATGAGGACACCTTTATAATGAGGACACCTTTATAATAAGGACATTTTGTAATGTCCCAATTGGTACAAGCCTATACAAAAGCACCTCTGAAATGAGGACACCTCTGTATTAAGGACAGGTAGTGTGGGCCCAATGGTATCCTTAATAAAGAGGCTACACTGTACATGTATTAAGGACAGGTAGTGTGGGCCCAATAATGTCCTTAATAAAGAGGCTACACTGTACTGGGTTTAATAAATAATATATTTTTATAACAAGAGTACTGGTATATAAATAATAGTACTGGTGTATGCATTACTAATAACAGTATTGAGTACTGGTATATCATAACTGTCTTATGGGAATACAATATTTCATAAATTAACCCTATTATTGATCTATAATGCAATAACTAACCACAACTATTAGTTGACAACATTTCCTCTACACATTACATGCTACAGGGAGTCACTGGAACTATCCATTTATCTCAAGAACCATGTGGCGGAAGCACAGGTATGTTCACCATATATGGCAATTGCAGTTAGAGGATGTTATTTTATTTTCTGTTTCCTTTGTGCTTTTATGTTCTTCCCCTTCCTTCCAATATCTTATCAATTTATTTCTTTTTTGTTAATATATATATATACAGTATAACCTCTTTAACACATTTATAATGAGGACACCTTTATAATGAGGACATTTTGTAATGTCCCAATTGGTACAAGCCTATACAAAAGTACCTCTGAAATGAGGACACCTCTGTATTAAGGACAGGTAGTGTGGGCCTAATGGTGTCCTTAATAAAGAGGCTACACTGTACATGTATTAAGGACAGGTAGTGTGGGCCCAATGGTGTCCTTAATAAAGAGGCTACACTGTACATCTACATGTATATCTTTCTTTTATTATGGCAATTCTTTCATTTATGTACCTCTTTTTGTTGCTTTCTTTCACAACTCTCTCCCTCTCTCTCTCTAACACCCTGACCTTGCTCAATCTCTTGTACCATCTTTTCCCATCTCTCTCCCTATACATAGTCCTACTACAGTTTGGGTGCACTCCAGCTGCTGGTACAGAATCACAAAGAAGCTTTGAAGTATTTCAAGAAACACTTGTATTTGGCACAAGAACTAAACGACAAGTAACAACAATAATTGTTCTATTAATAGCGTCAATATAAACATTCACAAGTGACTCTTATTTCAAACTCATAGACCCATATATAACCGTATACACACCCACACAATCACCCACGCATATTTGACCAAAGTCCCAATACTACTTAATTTGTAAAATTAGCTCCAAAAAAATTCTCCAGTTATATGACATTTTCTAATGCACATTTACATTAACATACATGCAAAACTATCACAATTCTCTTTATAGTATACAACTATATTATCTGCTCTTTCCCTTCCCTCTCTCCTTTCTCCCTCCCTCCCTCTCTCCCTCCCTCTCTCCCTTTCTCTCTCCCTCCCTCTCTCTCTCCCTCTCTTGATACCCTACCATACAGATATGGTCAGTGTAAAAGCTACTGGTGTATAGGCAAGGCACTGACATCATTGGGACATTATAAAAGTGCTCTGCTGTTTGCCAACAAGCAGTTCTTACTAGCTGAAGAGGTATGTACATATACACACATACATATACAGCTATTATAGCTAGACAGTACTATATCACCAGTCTATGGCAGCGTAGGCTCAATAAGGTTGTGTTTTGGTGTGTGTAAGCATATTTTTGGTTAGCTTGAATTCTTAAGGCCATAACCGATAATTAAGAATTGCTTTAAATGACGTGTAATGATTTCTGAATGGACTTATATAGAGATTGAGGAACTAATCGTGTTATGTGCTCTTAATCACATGTAATGTGATCATAATTTGGTACTTTTTCCTCTTCACCCTCTCCCTTCTCTCTCTCTCTCTCTTCTTTCTTCTTTGAAGATATGTGATTATTCGCAATGCTGTACAGCAAGGAAGAACATGTCTGACCTGCTGGATGCAATATCTAAATCCCAGAAGAAGTATGGACAAGAGAGAGAGAGAGAAGGGAGAGAGAAAGAAGGGAGAGAGAGAGAGAGAGAGAGAGAGAGAGAGAGAGAGAGAGAGAGAGAGAAAGAGAGAAAGAGAGAAAGTAGAGAGCAGACTAAAAGACTAAAGAAATGCATGACTAAAAGATGCAAAGTACAGACCACACGGGCAGACTAAAGACATAATTAACGAACATGCGATGATCAAAGATATAGAAAGAGAGAGAATCAAAGAATGGGGAGTGACCGCACAAAATTCACATGGCGGCAGAAAGGCGTTCGTGACTATAATTAATCTTTATCTTATCATCTTCATAAACACATACACATACAGAATACAACAGAGTGAGGTTGGAGCTACAGGACAGAAAAGGAAAGTTCAGAGAAGCCAGAGTAGTCACGCTAGAACTTCAGAGAGAGGTAATAATGAAATGTAAATAAATAAATATAAATATAGGAAGTTGTGGACTTAAGTACGCTAAGATCACAGTGAACACACATGTTATATAATAACCTTATTATTATTATTATTATTATTATTATTATTATTATTATTATTATTATTGTTATTACAAAGGATAATGCAAGTTTTAATATCTTTATTTTTGTCCAGTTTTAATTTGATACTTAAATAAGTTTTTATCATCAACACTGGATGTGCTGTTTTATTTTGTCATTTTGAAGTTTATAATAAAATTTGCTAAGTAACAAATTAAAATTCATTACTAAGAGTGTTTTGACTATTATCTACAAGTACAAAGAGGCATTTGTTAGTGAAGTGGTTTAAATTAAGATTAGAATCAACTTCAACAACACTGCAGTATAGCCTCTTTTAATGGACACTCTCTAAAGCATACACCTCCATTAAACGGACAGCACCTAGTGTACCAATTACATTCCTTACTGTATAAAATAACCTCCACATAAAGGACACCTCTGTATAACAGAAACACTGTCAAAGTGACCATTATATAGAGGCTACACTGTATACTTCAGCAATACAAAAGCACTGTATCCATAAGCTAAAAAGCTTAGTCTACTTAGCACTACTTTAAACATTATTTTTAACACTAATTTATGCCCATTTATTCCTTCATTCAACCCATTCATTCAGTCATTCACAAATCCATTCAGCTCCTAATGATCCTTAACTACCTCCATCAACAAACCAACACGTAAACAGAAGCACAAATACAACAGAAATATCTCTCTCTTAGCAGCTTGTACTTAAACACACTCATCCCATATCGCTACTCCATATTAAGGACACTAGAGACTGCCTACAGCCACAATGATATGCAGAGCAAGGCTGACTGTTGTTTATGGACAGTGAATTTAGTGAGAAAGCATCTTCCTGACGTCAGTATGGCCATGTTGTTGATTAACACAGCACAATATATTGAGTCAGTATGGCATAAAACACAATAAAATTGACTGGTGTAATATAAACAAGTGTATACACTACTAGCTATTACTAGGAATAAAGTTAAATGGCCATTAACATAACATAAGACTGTTAGCATTGTCAACAATGAAACAGAATGAGGGACGTCATAAATATTTAGAAAGAAGAGCATATAACCCTTACATGTTACGATAATCATCTGAGAGAGTGCTTATGTCCCTTGGGATCAGTGGATGTATGTAATGGATACACATCATGTGGGAGAGAATGAGTGAGACGTACTTGATTACAGGAATGTCTGTTTCTCCCTCTGACGTATCTACTATCTGGTGATCACAACAGACGTACGCATGTTAGTGATAAACAACTATTGGTTTAAGTTACTCCAGAGAAGTATAGAGAAAGAAAGATGATAAATATATAAGAATATGAAATAATAGTAACTAAAATAATAATAACAATGGTAATAGATACTGTAGTAATAGTGTAGTAATAATAAAAAGAGAGAAAATAAAGGTGATTCTAAAGTACAGAGATTTTGTAATAAATTATGCATTAAATCTATCAATGAATTACCTTTTTGCTTAAAAAACAAGTTGTATAAAGTTTAAAAAGCATTTTAAGGTTGACTTTATGGAGGTATGTTTCCCTTTGTTAAGTTAAGAAAATGAATGAGTGTGTGTGGGCCGAGAATCATAAGGTGTAGGGAATACTAACACAGTAAGCACTGTATGGGTTCTATGGACACACCAACAAGTTACAAAACCTCAAAACTAACTCAAACTCAATTAGCCTCACAACCACAACTAACTCACCAATAGTAATTGGAGCTTCAATACAATAACAATACACATACATGTACATATACATATAACAGACACTGGTTGGCAACCGTAGAGGGGCCACACTATTGTGCCACCCACAAGTTACAAATTAAGTTACAGCTGCTAAAATTTTAAGAACTAAGATTGCGTGATTATAGTTTACGAAAGACTGCTAATGGCGGTTATTATCAATATAAATGTACTAATCGTGCTATATTGTTGACTTCATTTTCACGAAAACAATGTTATATACATGTACATGCATGTATAGGCTGAAATTATAGATGGATCAGATCGTGCACGCAGCAAATGAAGAGATGGGATAGAAGAGCGTGTGTGTGTTTCACTGCGTGTGCTGATGGCTCGAATTTCAATCATCAAAAACAGCTTATTATTTGAATGAATAGATGAATGGATCACATATACACACACAGTCATTGGCTAGCAATCATGTACCACAATCAACATTGAGAAGTCGCTATAGTCCATAGTCTATGAAGCAGATACAATTTGAATTGATGTGTGTATTGTTTAGCTACATCAATACAAACATCTATTATAAAGACACCTTTATAATGAGGACACCTTTATAATGAGGATACCTTTATAATAAGGACGTTTAGTAATGTCCCAATTGGTACAAGCCTATACAAAAGTACCTCTGAAATGAGGACACCTCTGTATTAAGGACAGGTAGTGTGGGCCCAATGGTGTCCTTAATAAAGAGGCTACACTGTACGTGTATTAAGGACAGGTAGTGTGGGCCCAATGGTGTCCTTAATAAAGAGGCTACACTGTACATGTATTAAGGACAGGTAGTGTGGGCCCAATGGTGTCCTTAATAAAGAGGCTACACTGTACATGTATTAAGGACAGGTAGTGTGGGCCCAATGGTGTCCTTAATAAAGAGGCTACACTGTACATGTATTAAGGACAGGTAGTGTGGGCCCAATGGTGTCCTTAATAAAGAGGCTACACTGTACATGTATTAAGGACAGGTAGTGTGGGCCCAATGGTGTCCTTAATAAAGAGGCTACACTGTACATGTATTAAGGACAGGTAGTGTGGGCCCAATGGTGTCCTTAATAAAGAGGCTACACTGTACATGTATTAAGGACAGGTAGTGTGGGCCCAATGGTGTCCTTAATAAAGAGGCTACACTGTACATGTATTAAGGACAGGTAGTGTGGGCCTAATGGGGCATGTCCTTAATAAAGAGGCTACACTACATTTCCTGCATATACACATGTACAGTTTAGTACCATATTACCATTATTGGCTAGCTGTTTGGAATGTTAGGCTGCGGTAGTAATTGGAATTGAACTACTCCAGCGAATCATTGAAAGAATTCAACTATACTCACAAGTGTATTGAGGATGCATATAATGTAGCTATGTGGGACCAGTATGGAGTAAACCGAGGGATATATACATACAGAGACATAGCTTAGTCTAGCCGAATATAGCAATGTACTCAGTCGTAACTAGATAAGAGACATAACTCCTGCTGGCAATTACTGCTGATTAATGGGATCACAATAATGGACTATTGTTGTTGGTCATTATTCTACAGATAAAGGGTGTACAGTGTTATAATGGGCGGCTTTATACAGCTTTATAATGACGACATTTTGTAGTGTCCCAATTGGTACAAGCCTATACAAAAGTACCTCTGAAATGAGGACACCTCTGTATTAAGGACAGGTAGTTTAGTGTCCTTTAATTATAAGTTCGGAGACAGTAATACACTCATAACATATTTAATCTGATAATAATGAGGAACTTAGGACTTGTTTGTTTCAAAACTCGGCAGCCTTTGGCGTGTTCGGTGTTGAATGGCTTAACGGAGCCATCCGCCAACGTAAGTCTTTCATAGTAATACTAATAGAATGTACAATTTCCTCTGACCCCAATAACCCCCTCCATACCCCTCTCCTTTATTAAAGACCTGCTAATACTTAAGTATAAACATTGGCCATTTGTTTGTGTTCTTGTATGGCTGAAACAGGCATTTCCGTTCATTCCCGTATGATGGCTCAGGATATTTTCCGTATACTTAGCATAGCTTTCATAAAAGAGAGCAAAGGCGAGGCCGAGAGACAAGTCAACTGACCTTCTCTTCTTATATCGTTCTCTTTCTTTTGTGTAAAGACTTTAAGAGCTAAACTATACACAAGATGGCACTCCTCGTTGACAACCATTACCACAGGCTTATCAACAGCGAACCAGTACTGGTAAGTGGAAGGAAAAGCAACCGGCCATTTTTTATCTTTCTTTTCTTCTTATTGTAGGAAGCGTGTCCAGAAAGAGACGGCATAGACGAAGAGTTAGAAGGTCTCATAATCCAATCACAGAGTCGTAGACTTAACGACCAGAGGACCCCATTACCACCAGATCCTCAACAGAGACTCTTCCTCGACCTCCTCTTGAGGCTACAGGGTTCTAGAATGGACGACCAGAGGGCCAGCCTTCATTTAGACGTAAAAGAGACAGAACTCACTTCCCAACCTCTCCCAGCACAACCAGCTCAGACTAAAGAGGACCTTGAAGACATAAGGAAGCCTCTCTCAGAAGAGGAATTCATTGATCTACTTTTTAGAAGTCAAGTAAGTTTACTTGAAGATGTGTACATGTACATGCAGACATGTTTCAAATATATTTGTGTGGCCAAAAGTCTTGGAATGTGTTTTTTGTGATGTCGTACGGGGGTTTGGCGTCAGTTTGGTTTAAAGGAGAGAGAGAGAGAGAGGGGGAGGGAGAGATAGTAAGGGAGTATAGTAAATAAGATGTTTAATTAATTGACTTAGTGTCCATTCAAACATCATGAAGTCATGTCAACTTAATTATTGCGTACAACAACACTTTAAGAAACAAAATATTTATTAACCTCTCTCTCTCTCTTTCTTTAGAGCTCTAGAATAAATGATCAAAGATCTCCAGATCCTCAAACGTATCGACAAAACCTCATGCCTGGAGAGGATTTCTTTAACATGCTACAGCACCTCCAGTCGACACGGATTGAGGATCAGCGTAGTCCATTTCCTCGCTAAACCACGCACTATCTCTCCTGCTCTCTCTCTCTCTCTGCTACACATTGACTACATAATCTCCTCTTTCTCTCTCTCTCTTATTCCATGATTTATCTCTTATCTCACTATCATCATTATTATTATTATTGCTATTATTAATATTTTGATTTTGTACTCTATTGAAAGCTCATGAATTTGTGCTATATACTATATATACAGTTAAAAAACCCGACACGTATGCAGCCGGAAGTTAAAATAATGAGAGCCAATATTACATAGTGTGGATTAGACATATGACAGTGGATTCAAAACAATACGTTAACACTTGATTCCTCTACATCCCATCACGTACATATACAGTATAACACATTGAATCAGTTAATGATAAAGTATTGATTACATATTGTAATAGCCCATATAATAACTGGACAATTGGACACTTGATCTAGTTACTATTATCACAATTCTTAATTACAGAGTGTTATTTAAACCTTACCTACATGTAAAATCTCTCTCTATCCCTCTTTCTCCCAATAGATACACAAACAATCCTTTCCTTCATACCATATGGTGGTGTGTGTGTATATACATTCATAATATTATGATAAAAAGGGTAGCTACCTCTTGCCCAAATAAGGCAATCCACAGTAGTACATGCCCTCTTAGGTTCAGCATAACATCATTATGTACTAAACAATATTATGTGGGGGATGTAACTATAGCAACATGATATCACAGGCCACCACACTATGTGAATAAATGACATTCAGTATGTACTACATTGTAGAGTATGTATTAAGTCTACACAATGTGTTTTGTATATCGTTATTGCTTATAATGCAAAACAATTGATAGCACCATAACAGTATATAGGGGGCGTGTGGACGTAGTGAGAGCTTATAAATAAAGTAAATAATAATTAATGAGTTAACAAATAAAATAGAATAGTATTAGTAACAATCAAATGAATCAATAACCAATCAATAATGAATTAATTATTATAGTTAATAATAAGAGTTTATGATTCATAAGGGATGGCCAGTGAATCAATGTCATCAATGATTTGAATAGAATGACCAAACCTGGAGAAACAGGGAGAGAGAGAGGGGGAGAGAGAGGAGAAAGAGAAAGAGGGGGGAGGGAGAGAGAGAGACAGACAGACAGAGAGAGGAGAGACAGACAGAGAGAGGGGGGGAGAGAGAGAAGGAGGGAAAGGAAGTTATTCTAACTAACCAATCGAGGTCATGCCTCATTAGAATATTATGATAAAAATTTCTTAAATATTACAAGAATCTGCACTAACATGTACTTCCTTATTACGCTTAATCACGTCTTCCCTTCTCTCTCTCTCACCGCAACATTTATGGACAAACAAACACACACACACCCTAGCTGCCATACCTAAAATTACTCTACAATGTAACCACACACAGTTAGACTGTGCAATTGCAAAACAATAGAAAAAACAATAAAAAAATAAAACAAAGTTTAAAAGTTTAAAAATCCACTTTAAACTATGCCCTAGCTGATCGACACCTACATGTAGCTCTTTCACAAATAGAAAGAAATGAAAATGTCATCATGTTATTCTATCACACTTACTATTACTAAAAAACATAGCTACAGTGCTATTTAGCTTACAGTCATACAAGAAAGTACATATTATTTGATACTGGAGTTCAAAGGAGAACAAATTGATGACACCTGACTCTTAAATGATATTGCTTTATCATTGTTGTATGGGAATGAGGTCACTGATCATGAATATATTGAACTATTAATCATGATAAATGATATAAATGATAATGAAATCATTTAACAAATGTAGGCACATCAAAAAACAATAACAACAACACCATCACCACCAACACCATCACCACCATCACCACCACCACAACAACAACAACAACACATAATGACAGCATTCTAGTATTATATCAAATTCTCTCTAATAGCCATTTTGACAAAACAGTCTGTACTATAGTACAGGCTGTTTTGTCAAATTTTGGAGCAACTTTAAAGATCCATAATAAATCCAATTTTGATCGGAATGAGCTCAAACTTTCTACACAACATAAGAACATCTATAAAAATGGAGAATTCTCTCCTTAGCTGTTTTTGATAAAATACCTTGTGCTATTATAGTATAGGGTATTTTGGTATAATGTACATGTACCATGAAATGCTACTACATCTCATACA